CTTCCCGACCCCGAGGGGTCGTACTACCTTGTTGCAGGCAGGTTTTAGATTTCACCCCATGCGGGGGAGAGGCTTGTCCACCGTAACCACGAGGTCGGAGCAGTGCGCCTCATTGGGGTCGATGGGTAATTCGAGTGGGAGCCGATATCCTCCTGAATTAACGTGGAGTTCGGCTGTGCCTCATCGAGAGACATCCCATAAATCATTGGCCATCAAGCCCGTCAGCCCCGACCGCCTCCGCAGCGGTCAGAGGGCAAGATGCCTCCCCCCCATAGGGGGTCAACCCGGACGACTTTGAAGCAGATGACTCGAACACAGGGTGAGCTGGTCGTGTGGCTCCACACCACCAATAAGAGCCGCAGGGGCCTGTCTCATCCTGCCCCTATCCCTTTGTGGCCTCGAGCCCATCTAAGGACCGGAATAAGAGCAAATTTCCTAAGTATGACTCGGGGTCATGGCTACGGTGGGTCGCTCTTGCACGTAGATCCAGGTGTGTGTGACCTCCTTGATCGTGTTGCATTGACAGCGCCCGCTCGCGAGTAGTGAGGCATCTTCTAAACGAAGGCATGCAGATCGAAACGGTTCGAAGAAATGAAAACATGCAGGGCCTACCTGGTTTGGGTTTTCGCGTGGGAGGCCACCGCTCTGCCTTCCGCCTAGTCGTCGCCCCTGCTCCGCGAGACTATCGAAGTGGTTAGTAATGGTCGTGGGCTTATTTTGCTTGCCGAGGTTATCTTTGCGGCTATAAATCCACTGGGGTGGTGCGTAGTGGGAGGTATTATTCTCCCGTCCCCTGCATTGCCTTCTTCTCCTTTTCTGCTTGTGCACCTGTAGTTGCTTCTCCTGGTGATGGATCGTGGGAAGCGCCTTCGCGAGGAGTCACCCGAGGTCGACGGGCTGCCATTGATTCTTCTGTCTTCCCTGTGAGAGCAAAGGTAAGTGATTTCGCGTTGCTCTTTGGACTCGACTGTGTTCGTTGTTAATTATGGGTGTGTTCAGGATCATCTCTCCGGCGATGGCGTCTGAGGTCAGGGGCCCTTCTAGCACCATCCATCCTCGGCCCGTTCTGGAATCGGTGAGCCCCTATCCCCTGTCCCTTACCATCGGGCGGCAGGAGATATGGAGCTTTGTGCTTGAGAGGGACGAGGCTCATCGGTTGCACTCAAGTTCTATCCGTGAGGTGGCCCAATTGAAGGCCCACATGGACTATCTCTAGGCGGCCCTCTAGGTGGTGGAGGAAGAGGTCACCGAGGTGTGGGCGGTGGCTACCGCCATGCGGGTGAGGGCGTATGGTGAGTTTCCTAGCGCCGCTAATTCCTACTGCCGGGTTTTTGTTCTCAGATTCTAACGGGACTCTTTGGACTATAGTGCTAGAGTATCAGCTCATAGCATCCTGCCTTAAGACGAAGGGGGCACATCCTTGGGAAGGCCCCTCGGGCGAGAGTCGCCACCAAGGCATGGTCCCCAGAACTCGGTGGGGGGTTGGCTTTGATGGGTGACTCGGCCGCCGCTGCGGCGATCGTGAAGACGAGGGGCAGTCTTCGCGGATGTAGTTAGGTTTCCTAAGCGGCGCCGGGTGTTCCTAGTTCGCCCATGTGCTTCACTGACGGGCGAAGCTGTAATACCTAAACTATCTGTGCGTGTGATTTGTCAGCGGTTTTCACTTCTTGTTCGCTCATCCTGTCATATCGCTCTTGTTGTTTTTATATTACTTTTGTTTTAACTCGACACAAGCGGGCTTTCAATTTCTGCTTACGGATTAATCTCTCGCGACGTGCAGATGCTGGTTAGATGCTGCGTGCCAAGCTATGTCTCTATAGTGCTACATGTCATAGGCGGCGAGAGTGAGTGCTGGTGGGGGACCTTACGTACGCTCCCCCGCGAAATGCGGTATTGGCCGCCCGTGAGAGGTGGGTCAGGCCGTCTGGAAGGTGAAATGCCTCCTAGACGACACGCATGGGTTCTGTGTCCCTAAATCGATTCTATGCTTCATTTTAGCTAGTCAGGCTCGTCATTGCATCTATGCGCGTATGTGAATGCGATCAAACAATGAAGAGAGGGACATGATTAATATCACCGATGCTTGTTCAGGTAGCAGACGCTCGCCCTGCCACTACTGCTCGTGCTGAGGTGAACTTCCGAGCGCTCGCTTGTGGTGGAGTTGTCATGGTCCCTAGGCTACAAGTTGGTGATGACGCTTCTTTACCATCCGGGGTGGTCGTAACTGGTGCGGATTGTCCTCCCGGGCTGCCTTGGGTCAGCCCTTGCTGACTCGACATCCTTGGCGGGCTCTTGAGCCCCCGAGGATGGCTTCTTTGTGGTCTAGCTTGCCGTGGCTTTCGGTCGAGAGGGCTCGTGCGTCCTGGTGCTTGAGTCTTCGTGGTGCGACGATGTCGCGGCCATCGTGTCTTCGGTTGTGGGTCCGGCTATCGCTCTTGACGAAAAGCCAGTGCGAGCTATCGCAACAGGTGCAGGTTCTGAGGGCAACACGAGTTAGTCTGCTCGGCGCGGCGCATGGTCCACTCGGGTAGCCTGCTTTCTCGGATGCATGTGCCTCCAAATGAAGACTGACGGTTTGTTGAGACGTGACGGATGGTTTGTCCGCCGCACAGGTCCTGGTCTTGGTTCTAGGCTTGGCCTTGTGAGGCATGGCGTCGGGTAGCCACTTGATTACCAACGATGACGCCATGTGGCGGCGAGTAATTTCATCGCTCATGCGCTGTGGCAGAACCGCCCAATTTAACCTAATCCCAACTGTACTTGTCAGCCCTTTGACACTAAGTACACAAAGAGATCAAGTTAAACCTGGTAGTCTGTCGAGTTCTCCAGTGGGGTGTAATCATAGTTTTCACGGCGGATGTGGCCACCATAGGCCATTCTGCCAGCGAGTCCTCCAACGGTCAAGAGTGCGCGATGGTCCCCTACCTAGCGCACTAACTATCGGTGTTTTGTAAACCGGACTAGTAAACTTATACGATTACCGCGCTGCTCTAGGAAGACGATGGTAGCTTTCAAAAGACACGAGGATTTATATTGGTTCAGGCCGGAGCCCTATGTCCAGTCTCAAAGATAATCAAGTGCGTGTTTCTCGCTTGAATGCTCTGAAGTTCTTACAATAGGAGGTGCAAGAATGGTGGAAGAGGTAGGAGATCTAGAGCTAGGAGACGGGCTGCCCAAAGGGAAGCTTCAGGAGCCCTTATACGGTGTAAGAACGAGAGAATGAAAGTTGGATCGAATGGTTTTGGATCCCCAAGATGGGTGCCCTGGCTGCCCTTATATAGAGTTCGGGGAAGGGCGTATACAAAGAAAGATGTTCTCCCGGCCGAAGGGTCGTGAGCCTGAGGGAGGCCCTAGCTAACTTGGCTTGCAAGCTACCCCATCTTGTGGAGCATGTCTAGGCGTGGTTGTCGTCATGGTCTTGTGGCCACATCGCGGCATGGTGTGACGTAGTGCTACTGTGCCGGCCGTGGCGGCACTGTAGGCACAATGGTGGTTTGCCTGCCGTCCTGTGTGACGTGGTCTCCGTCGTGGTCTTTGTCATCGCTTCCTGGTTTCCAGGGGCGTCGTATAGGAGTTGGTAGCCGCCCCTAGGTCGTCGATCGCTCTGTGGGCTTGAATAGCTGAGGGCTACGATCCCGACCGTTGGGGTCATAGCTCCCGCCAGTCTGGATGGCCTCTAAGTCAAGGCCCTCGTCGTGGATCCCATCTCGTAGTTGGTAGAATCATACAGACGTCTTCTCGGGTCGTATCTGGACTGTGGGCTCTGTACCGACTGTGACTGCCTTAGGAGGTGTTGTCTTGTCTGCGCTGCGTGGTGCAGGGGTGGCGTCTGACCGGACCGAGGTGACCGCTGTCCCCTCGGTCCTTACGAGGTCAGTGTGGCGTGCCTACTCTTGTCAGAGCGGGCATGTTTGGCTGGGTGTGAACTCTCCCCGTTCCTCCCGGGGTCGGGACGACGGAGAGGTCGTGATTCTCTTACGTGTCGTGCGGCTAAGACAGAAGGAGGGGTCACGGCCGACCCTGGCCTTAGCGTCAGGCCTATTCTACTTGGCTTAGCTGGGCCTCGGTCGCTCGGGCCTTCGCTAGCTGATGTGTCGTGGGCCGCTCGGCCTGCTAGTTAATCGGTGCCTTGAGACACCCGGGGATCATAACCCCGACACATAGCAACATATGCAACATCCAGATCTACTTTTGCAATATTCTGATGAAAAACTTGCAACGTAAGTCTGAAAACATTTGAAACATACGCTTGAAACATGCATATATAGCCATAGCAACATATGCAACATCCAGATGGAACACTTGAAACATACGTCTGAACCAACAGAAACACTTGAAACATAGGCTTGCAACATGTCCGAAAACGCCTGAGACACATTGTCGCCGGTGGTCAAGGCCTACCTGGTGAGGAACCGCGGAAGCGCAGGTCTCCCCTTCCTGCCGACGGCGTGAGGTGGATGGCGGCGCAGGCGCAGGCCTCCCTGCCTCCTCTTCCACGACGGGCGAGGTGGACGAGGGCATGGGCTGCCTCCTCTTCCACGACGGGCGAGGCTGATGAGGGCACGGGCGGGAGCGAGCAAGGGCGCGCGGAGCAGCAGACCCGACGACGTAGGCAGGGCGTGCCGAGTAGGTGCGGGCGACTCGGGCGGTACGTCGGACGGGACGGACACCCGTGATATATCATTTCGGAAGTGGGAAAGTACACGGTGACAACTAACACAGAGAAAACACAGACATGGTGACTCTGCATCCGGCGTCCCTAGTGAGCCTCCTTTTCAGGAAGAGAAAACGTTTACCAAAATGATCCACAAAATTTATTAAAGGGACATATACAGGGACTACAACAGCACTATATTCTCTTTATATATCTCTCTAAAAATAAACACTAAATCTATCCGGTATAGATCGACTCCGCCTACAATTTGTCTCAGACAGACCCCATCTATGTGAGATTGCATTTTGCCGTAGTCCAACAGGATACAGCAAAACCATGCTTCATCTCAGTTTCGCGCCCATTTGCTGCTGGTGCTGTACCTCGCCCATGACATGGCCACAACCTCCGGCACCTGCCTGTCGGCCATGCCGGCCATCGCTCTAGCCCTCGTCACCTTCTTCACCAGGAGCCGCCATGTCTTGTCCGCCTTCTCAGTCTGCATTTTCGCCGTGAAATGGCTGCGCAAAATTAAAAAACCAAGTCAGAATCTGAGTGACGAAAACCAAGTCAGAATTTGAGTCCTCAATTCAGAATGCATGTACTACTACAGTCCTACTCCTGCTAGACTGTTAGCCTCGTTTAGATTGCAAATTTTTGTAATCTGAATACTATAGCACGTTTTGTTTGTATTTGATAAACTTTATCTGATTATGGACTAACTAGGCTCAAAAGATTCGTCTCGTGATTTACAACCAAACTGTGCAATTAGTTATTTTTTTAATGCTCCATATATACGTCCAAAAATTAATATGATAGAGAGAGTGAAAAAACTTGAAATTTAGAGATGATCTAAACAAGGCCCTGGTATATATGCATGGGTCGATCAGATCTTTTTGGTGGTGATTTTCAGAGGCAGTGCCATGCCGGCCGTTAGTGTCATTATCACGGAAATGATTGAAAGCTGCAGCACGTTCGGAGGCCATATCGTATCGTGGATTATTTACTGCTGACTGGTTTGGTGTGAGAGAAAAACACTGTTCCCGAAATTTACGATTGGCTGGCGATCGCAATGACGTCGTACGATCGCCGGACTATTTTGTTTGGACGCTCGTGAAGCCGTGAAAAGAAAATCTGGAGCACAGATATTTCGCGATCGTGCTGTCGGAGAGAGATCGATTCACCATTTTACTACTGCGTAAAAAAATGTCTTTTCCTCCGATCCGTGCGATTCATCTCACCTGCAGAGCGGCACGCGGCACGGCTGGTCCTGCTCCGGCCGGTCGCAGACGGAGGCGTGGAGGCGGAAGAGCTGCAGCATGCGCTTGCACCGCGCGCAGCCGCCCGGCGCGACCTTGCGCGCGCATGTCGCGAAGTGCCGCATCAGCAGCCGCAGGCCCTGGCACGTGGCATCGTCGTCGCCGTCCCCCGCGCACGTGCCAGCAGGGCCTGCGGACGACTGGGACGGCGCGTCATCGTCGGTGCCGCCGCCGGTGGCGGCGAAGATGCGGTCGAGGGAGCCCATGGCCTGGCCGAGCTGCCGGTAGGCCTCCTGCGACGCCCGCGCCCGCGCCCACCTCGCGCGCCGGCTGTCCGCGTCCTCCAGCAGCTGGAGGAGCTCCAGCTCCAGCGCCGGGTCGTGGCGCCGCGCGAAGCGCCACCCGTCGGACGCCTCGACGGCGGCGAAGTCCTTGGCGGCCAGGCGCGCGCACCGCGTGTACAGCTGCGGCGCGTCGCAGAGCCTTGCCAGCTTGAGCATGTCCACGGCGCGGTCCGCGGTGAGGCGCGCCGACACGGCGGCCTCGGCGGCGCGCTTCAGCCACCCGACGCGGTACACGTGCGCCAGCGCCAGCAGCTGCGGGCCGTGCGCGGCCACCAGCTCCTCCGTCCCGGGCGCCACCAGCCTGCGGCTGCGGGCGAGGACGACGGCGGCGTCGGAGGAGTAGAGGAGGTGGAGGAAGGCGAGGACGGCGTCGGAGGGGACGCCGAGGACGGCGGCGGCGCCCCACCCGCGGCAGCGCGCCCTGTCGATCATCCTCTCCAGCACTGGCGACGCCGACGCCTGGGATTATTCCAAACCACAAAATCAGCAACCACACACGGCGATCGAGTCGACCGGAACTAACCGAGGCAGAAGGAGGGGAAAGATGAAGTGCCTTACAAGAACGTAGGAGTGCGCGGCGATGGTCTGGCCGTCCGACGTGACGATCCGCACGTCGGCCGCCGACGCCCGGAGCGCGTCGAGATCCGCGTACAGCGCCATGGATTTCCCTTCTGCTGATGCCTCCGGATCTTGCCCCTCCACCGAATTAAATTGAGGCAGCAGGGGTGTAGGCTACAACGAACCTGGGAATGTGATCTAAACTAACCTAACGAACTGGTGCAAGAATGGATCTCGCAGCGTTGTTGGAACAGAAGGGGATCGCAGGAATGGAGCAACTCAAAGCTCAGCGACAGCTATATAGAGGAAGGGCGGGTGGGGGGAGATATCTGCAGAAGATACAGCTTTACACCAGACGCAGGTTGAAACGAGAAGGCAGGCGATTTGGGGAGCAGCCTGCCGTCTGGAGACGCGTCGGTGACCGTTCGCGCTACCGGGACGCCTCAGTCTCTCACCTCAATGGTCAGGAAAACCGACGGCTGAGGCTTACTCGCGCGGTTCAGCGTCCCATTTACCGTGCACGTCGCCATCGGACCATGGAGGATGTTTGGAAGCTTGTTAGGCGTTGTTGGCGACTGGGTGTAGAAGGATGTTTGGAAGCTTGTTAGGCGTTGTTGGCGACTGGGTGTAGAATTGAACGTCCCGTTGGTTTGGTTTATAAGTCGTATTTTTTTAGTCAACGAATAATATTTTTCTCTCATAATAAATCAGTCAAGAGTACTTTCAGTTATGGCTTATCAGCCAAACGAATAAGACATAAGATAGGTAATGCTCTCCTGACGCCACACTTCTCGGTCTACGCCGCTCGCTCCCTCGTCATGCGCCCCGACCGCGACGCTCGCTCCCGTCCGCGCCCATGACGCAGCGCCCCGCCCACGACGCTCAGTCGCACCGGCAACGCCCAATCCCCTTCCTCTGCAGCCTTTCTCTAGCGCAAGGGCGCCGCGCCGCGGGCACAGCACCCGACCGCCCGTCTGCCGCGGCCTTCTCTAGCGTGGGGGGTGGCTCCTACGGGCACGGCACCCGCCCACCCGCTGCACCCTCCCCCACTCCACGCTGGCATCGATCTCTGCACCAGCATCGAGCTCTGCGAGATGACTAGCCTCAATTCGTCCCAGCAGCAAGGTGACATTGTGCTGAAAGCACATGTTGCAAGCGTATGTTTCAAATATGTTCAGATGTTTCAGAGATATGTTGCAAGTGTTTTATATCGATATTGCAAAAATATATTGGGATGTGGCACATGTTAAAATGGCTATACATGTATATTTCAAGTGTTTCATCTGTTTCAGATGTATGTTGCAAGTGTTTTATTTAGATGTTGCAAAAGTATATCAAGATATTGCATATATATATGCAAATGTTTTAGGTGTTTTCATATTTATGTTGTAAGTGTTTCATCTGGATGTTTACATATATTCGCAATGGCTACACACACGTTTTCAAGTTTTTTTTTGGTGTTTTGCAAGTGTTTTAGCTGATTCGAACGTATGTTGCAGTGTTTTATCTGAATGTTGTAAAAATAGATCATATATTGCACATGTTGCAATGAGACCCACCTGCCGCAGCCGCTTGCTGCAACTGCTGGGACGCCACCATGGGTCACCGTTGAAAGCTCTAGGTTGTTTTTGGTGAATTGATGAAACCTTAAGTGCTAACCTAGTTTATCATAGCGATCATGAGATATGTAGCTGTTAACACTGGATTTTGGTCGATTCTGGAAGATGACAGGTGGACCCACATGCGGGAAGAAGGGTATTCGGCAAACAAAGCAAGCGGTCGGCTAAATGCATTGCGGTCGGTTACTCCAGAAGGCGGTGACTCCATTCGGGAATAACAGAAGATGGCAGGCAAGACCGATCGAAAAGGGGAAAGTTGTGATAGTAAAGGACTCTAAAAGTTTAGGGTAAGGAGTCGTGAGTTTCCAAGTTTATTTAAAGATTCCTTTGTAAATCGTAGTCCTCTAGGACTCGTGTTTTGTCTAGGGTATAAATATTGACCCTCGACCATTGTAATAGGGGTTCACAACCAAATCAATACACCCGGCCCCGTGCCAACTTTCGAGTCCTTTTATCGTGTCGTCGAGTTCTTCGAGAGGAGTCATCGATCCGTCGACCTCCGTAAGTTCCGACAACCTTGTTATCATGTTTAGTATCATGCGGTGGATTTAAACGTGATGCAAGTAGTCTTGTTTGTTTTTCAATGATCGTGCGGCGGATCTTTGCTTAACAATCAAGAAGTCTTTGCTTATGCTTCGTTTATGAGTAGATACCGTGCGGCAGGTGTTTGCTCGATATGCTTAGTAAAAGCAAGATAGTTACCGGCTCTATTAGATATGGCAAAATCTAAATAGATTCATTAAGTTATCCAAATGTTGCATGTTTTAAATATTTTATATATTTGTAACACACTTACGCCCAATCTAGATCGAATATTGTTCGGCCTCTCTTATGGTTTTATTCGCGCTTCAATGATCATTATTTTCGTATTACCTTCGCAAATAGACAATACACGCGTAATGGCTGAATTATTTTAATCTAGATTGTCACATGTTGCGGGTTCATGCATGATAATTACGTTTAAGCCTTGACGGAACTAGGTGTCGTGCGGCAGATGCAGGTTTTAGATTGGTTTAATTGTGCTTATTTGCACGTTCCTTCTTCATGGATCCCAACTCGGTCGGATGGCTGAGCTTGGCTATGCATTAATTCATAATTAATTTCACTTGTTCAAACATGTCTTCTCATGTACATGTGTTCGGCAATTAGGCCTTTACGTGCATTCATCTTACGATTAGCCGAATGGTTTATAAACTTGTTGGCAGACAGCTCTTTATAGCTGTATGTCGTTGTAAGTGGCTTCAGGGCCGTATATGAGGAACTGTCTGGTATTACCCGACATGTTCCCGGTTTGACATTTAATTGTTCTATCCCTTGTTAGTTTTTTTAGGTCAAACTGACTGGCACGCTTCCGGATAACAAAGCACCCGGGAACCCGATTGAAGCTACGCTTTTCAGCTTGCTGTGTGTGAGGCACAGTGCGTCACATTTTGTGTCAACAGTAGCACATTCCAAGTGATGGAGAAATGGTGAAGATCATGATGATGGTGTAACCATGGTGATGATCAAGTGCTTAGGCTTGGAAAAGAAGAAAGAGAAAAACAAAAAGCTCAAGGCAAAGGTGAAATTTGATAGAGCTTTTTGGTTTGGTGATTGAGACACTTAGCGAGTGTGATCACATTTAGGATCGATAGTCGTACTATTAAGATGGGTGAAACTCGTATCGAAATACGGTTATCAAAGTGCCACTAGATGTTCTAACTCATTGCATATGTATTTATGATCTAGTGGAGAGCTGAAACCCTTTAAAATGTTTATGAAAATATGCTAACACATGTGCACAAGATGATACACTTGGTGGTTGACACATTTGATCAAGGGTGGCGAAGTTGGAGAAGTAGAGGGACTATCTTTCACTAACCGGACGCCGGTTTCGAAGTGACCGGACTCGCTGGTTGTGCGTCCGGTCAATTATAGTGAAGACGGCGCCCTCGGGCTTGGTCTGTTCAGTGACCAAACGCTGCACAGTCATTGTGACCGGACGCGCAGGGCCTGCGTCCGGTTAGGCTGTGACGTACGCTGACGCAAGCATTGAGATGAGGCAGTACTGACCTGACACGGCGGCAAAGAAATTTGGCTCTAGACCCTCTCTAGAACTGATCTGACACTGAAAAGCCGTAGGGAGCAGCGCGTTCGATCAAGGCTTGGCCTTGGTGCGCGTGGAGGAGAACTGACACGATCGGCGCATCCGGTCCTTGTGACCGCGTGTTCGATTGTCACTTTGGTGCTAGCACAGCTGGTTTTGACCGTTGGAGATCGACGATCGTGGTTTAAACAGGGGATACGTGGACGACATCCATTGACCAGACACTGGGGGCCGTGCGTCCGGTCACGATGACTAGCGCGTTTGGTCGCCTCGAGTTGGGCTACTCTGTGAGCACAACGGTTCTATTTCGATGGAGCCTCTATATAAGGTGTTTGGCCGGCTCAAGCTCACTCTTTTGGCCATTTGCATTGACATAGCAACCTTGTGAGCTTAGCCAAAGCCCTCCCGCTCATCTCCATCATTGATTCATCATCCTTGTGAGATTGGGAGAGAATCCAAGTGCATTGCTTGAGTGATTGCATCTAGAGGTACTTGGTGTTCATGTTTCGCTACGGGATTCACTTGTTATTCTTGGTGGTTGCCGCCACCTAGACGGCTTGGTGCAGCGAGGATCGTCGAGCGGAGGAAGGTGTTTGTCTCTGGCTCTGATCATGGTGATTGTAAGGGGTTCTTGACCTTTCCTCGGTGGAGAGCCAAAAGGTACTCTAGTGGATTGCTCGTGGTTTGTGTGATCCTCATCTTGTGTTGGTTGTGCGGCACCCATTGTGGGTTTGGCATGTGATGCTAGTTAGCGTGTGAACCTCCAAGTGAGTGAATGGCCACAACAAGGACTAGCTTCCCGGCAAGTAAGTGAACCTCGGTGAAAAATCTTATGCCATCATTGTGCGAGGATTTCATTGGTTATCTTGTGATTGATTGTGATCATCTTGTTATTGGCTCACTCCTCGACACGTCGGTATAATCATCACCGCCATCTCTTGTATTACATTCTTAGTGTTGCTATGCTCTTTAGTGTAATTAGTTTTGAGAGCTAGCTCGTGTCGGGTCTAGTGGTTAGTGAGGCTCTTTAGTTAGTCTTTGAGAGCTCACTAACTTCGTGTAGCGACTTAGCCAATTGTGTGCTTAGAGATCATAGTCACTAGAATTGTGGTAGGTGGCTTGCATTTTTAGTTGGCTAACGCAACACTCGCTTCTTTGTTTAAGTGTCTAACATCTTTGCTAAGTGTTGTTGTAGAAATTTTCAATAGGCTATTCACCCCCTTTAGCCAATAGTACATTTCAAGTGGTATCGGAGCCGTGGTCACCTTGATTTGAAGCTTAACAACCTTTGATGTTAAAATGGCTCAAATCAACAACACGATGAAGCCACTCTAATTTGATGGCTCCAACTATCCTTATTGGAAGGCTAAGATGACAACATATATCAAGTCAATCAA